CCCTCCTTGAAAAATGGTACAAGGAATGGGGAGTAAAAATTAATGAATCTAAATCCATACCCTGCACCTTCACTCTTAGGAAGGAAAAATGTCCACCTATCATCCCTAATTAACAAATTCTACCTGTCGCACCATGCATTCGCTACCTAGCGATCACCATCGATCAACGTCTCACCTGGCCTCCATATCTACGTAACAAACTCTTAACCCTAAGTGATCGTTTTCGTCTTCTCCATTCTCTCCTTACTTCCCATCATATCAAATTATCTACTAAATTATTAATATACAAACTCTTCTTAAAACAAATTTTGGACGTACGGAATCCAATTATGGAGCTCCGCAAAACCTACAAATGTTAACCATATCCATCGTTTCCAATCCGAAGTTCTTCGCGCTATAACCAAAGCACCCTTCTACGTATCAAATCATACATTACATAATGACCTAGATATTTCTCCTGTCAACGATGTAGCTAAGACCTTCTACAGACGTTTTAATTTCAACCTACAAAACCATAAAAATCCTTTAATCAAAGAACTTGCGTCTATAAATATACCCGGCAACCCACAAAAAAGGTTGAAAAGGCGGTGGTGTAGGGACCTATTAGTCTAGATCAATCTAACTTCTTTTATTCTTCTCTCTATATCTACCTTTGCTATTTCCACTTATCTTTCCTTATGATATTTTCTAACATTGTTTAACACTTTTTTTTTTTCTCATATTTAACTGTAAAAGTGCCTTCACTAGAAGGTATCTTTAATCCGTCCTTCACGCCATAGTTATGTATTTCATCAATTTCACTTATTGTTCAAATTTATGTAACAGATTGTGGAAATATAAATAAAGTAATAAAAAAAAAAAAAAATTCTCTGTATCATGAACCAGATGTTTAACTTACTCTGCTATTTTTTAAGCTTCTCATAAGAAATATGCAATTGTTATAAAATCCCAACCTTGCTTATTAGTGTCATTAGTTAATGGTTTATTACACGGCATATTTCGAGAAAAATGATTAAATTTTACATAGGATATATCATACAATTATAGAATGATATCGGTGTCGAAAATGTGTCACGATATCGATATCGTCCATCACTAGTAACTACGATTACCTGATGTTTTTATTTGAATTTTGTGTTATATACTGAACTGCCTGATGCAGCTGGTTGGCTGGTACCGGCTGTAGTCTTACGAACTATTTATGCATTAAATTTATGCAAAAATTTATGCATTAAAAAATTAAAACTTATATACAATTTGATTAATCGTAAACTAAAACTTTTCATTTGAACTTCCTATCGTACTTTGTAGTCTCGTACTAATTACTCATTACTCAACTATTTAGATTATGGACAATCGACCGAGACCGATACCCGCATTGACTAGTCATTAGCACATTTATCGATAAGATAACAAATATTCCATGATTGTAATAAAATAATTTAATGATTAGGCACTAAAAATAAATATATTAATTTCTAATATAAAATCGATGTCATACATTCAACAATACTATATAGAATTCACATTATTATATAATATTTTTTTTTCTACAATCGCGTATAATTTAATAGAATCGCTCCCGACTTCTTCGCTCATATTTCTGTTTATAGTAGCCTGATTTTTGCGTACTTTGTTTTAACTGTTATGTTATAAGTGCGTCCTTAGATTGGTGTCAATTTTGTGTTGCTTCGCCCAAAATTCTCCCCACAAGGACAATTATTGTGGTTTTCCCATACATATACACGGCCGCCATAAATACGTAAATTTTATTTAGGCTCGGGCCACACTACGCGTTTTATCAGTTGCCGATTTAAAAAGCGCAGAAAATATTTTAATTCAAAATAATATGTTCTTGGAAATATTAGACTACTGTGATATTATATTTGATTTCAACGAAATTTAGCTGGTTTATTATTATATTATTACTATATACTGCTAAAGATAGACCTATCATAATAATCAGATTGTAGACTTTTCAAGATAATTATATTGTTTTATAAACTAATATAGAATAAGAAACCTTAAACATGTATATATTTTAAATGATTTGATTTCGACGAAATGTGTATTGGTAAACCGTAACCGATAATCCGCAAGTTTGGTCGGCACAATACGAAATAAAGTGTTTTGAAGTACTTCCCGAAACGCATCGACAATGCCAAACCGCAACACGTTGCGGTTCGTCCAGGCGAGTTTTAAATCGGTTAGCTGAATCGATCAGTGTGGCCCCGAAAATGCGGTTTATAAGTTATTTATATGTTATTTATGGATGTTGCGGTCGTTTACCGATCGGTTCCGGATTATCGGCAACCGACAAAACGCACGTGTGGCCCGAGCCTTATATTATTATCTGCTCGACGGTCACAAGAATCGCGTTATCGCGCCGCCCAGTAATTTTACCGATTCTTGATACGATCCGTTCGCTCTCATCTTATACACTGTGTGCGCCGAAATTCCTCTTATACAGCGTGTCGTAGTGCACACCAGTTGCCACTCAACATAAACTTCGTTCTTTTTCTACTTCTACTTGTCTACTTCAAACCATGTCCAAGCCTTCACCACCCGTTCGGGTTCTACAACTTCCACTACTTCTAAGAAATGCACTTCGAATGATGACATCTTAAAAGCTATTGAACATATCCAATCATCTCAAGATAAATTGTTGGCTGGCCATAAATCCTTAGGTACAGACCTCAAAACGAGTATCAATGCTCTTAAATCGCGATTTGATTCTTTCTCACTCGAAATTTCTGAGCTCCGTACTAAAGTTGACCTCCTTGAATCTAAGGTTCTAACTCTAGAGTCAAAGACATCAAATCCATCAACTGTCCCATCCACCCAAATTTCAGATGTCTTACAAGAACTTACAGAGCGTGATCGATGCAAGCTCAATGTCATTATGTATGGTCTACCCGAATCCACGTCGATTGATCACCCTACTAAAATCAACGACGATAAGGTCTCGGTACGCGATATATTTTCTAAACTCTACCGATTTACACACTGATTTCAAATCGTTTCGACTTGGTAAACCTACCTCAACTTCAACTCGATCTCTAAAAGTTATTTTTGGCTCCTGTGAAGCTGCTTCTGCTGTTCTAACGTCCTATCGTCAAGCTAAAATCCAAAATTTGTCTCTTCTACCACTCACTAGCATTGTACGTGACAAAACTTTACTTGAACGTCAACAAATTCGTACCTATCACCTTAAGTTAGATCGTCAAGTTGCTGCAGGTGAACATAACCTAACCATCACGTTCAAAAACGGTTCTCCGTGCATAATTTACCGTACAAAAAACGACATCCGAGTTCATCATCGTCCTCAAGAATAAACAACACCAACTTTCCCATTACTTGCAACATCAATGGATTCTACCAGAATTGTCACGGCCTTCGTACTAAACTTGTAAATTTTAATTGTAATACTTCATGTTTTAACTATGTCTTTATTGCTCTTACGGAAACTTGGCTCTCTAATAGTTTTTACTTTTCTGAGCTTGGTCTCGATAATTACAATATATATAGATGCGACAGGTCTCCACAAACCAGCTCCTGTAATCGCGGTGATGGTGTGTTAGTAGCTGTTCGTAAAGACATAGATTCTTCCCCCCTTATTATATCTTATAATAATGTTGAGCAATTATTTGTCCGCTTCTCTCTTAACTCCTTAAATATTATAATTTGCAGTGTTTATATACCACCTTTATCGCCCATTGAGCTTTATACTACTCATCTGAATACTATTGATTTTATTGTTCAAAATTACCCAAACCATAGTTTTATCCTCACTGGTGATTATAATTTTCCATTTATTTCATGGTCAAATGATTCACATAGCCTGTGTTTCCTATCTCAAACAGTCTCTGAATATACTGCCATTCCTGAAAGACTTGCCATTCACGGATTCTTCCAACATAACTACATATTAAATTCTCACCACTCCCTTCTCGATCTCATATTCTCTAATCTTAGCTCCATAACTGTTAAACATGCTCTTGACCCTGCCGTGCCTGCCGACACTTATCATTCACCTCTCTCACTCTCTATAAATCTCTCCATTCATGCTCCTCAATCTGCTTCCTTCAAATCATTTTATAACTTTAGTAAGGCAGATTACATGCAGATCACAGATTACTTTAACTATTTCAATTGGTAAAGTACCTTTTTGTCTTACTCCCCAGATGATTCCATGTCTGTCTTCCTTGATGCTCTCCATTATTCAATTTTAACTTTTGTTCCTAAAATTTCTTTTCGCCCTTCCACTTTTCCGTCTTGGTACACTAAGGAGCTCAAAGAACTAGTGTTTGCTAAGTCTCGCGCTCATGCCAAATTTAAGTCATCCCAGCTATTATTAGATTACAAGCATTTTTCACTTCTTCGCGCTAAATTTAAATTCATCTCCAAACAATGCTACCGTAATTTTGTCTCACGTACAGAGTCCTCCCTATTACACAACCCACAATACTTTTGGAGTTTTATTTGAAAAAACCGCTCTTCTCAATCTATACCTTCATGTGTTTCACTACATGGTAAACAAAGTACATCTTTTTCCGATACTGCTAACCTTTTTGCTTTATATTTTTCTTCTGTGTTCACCCAACTTTCCCCGACTCCATCCCAAACATTACATCCTATCTGACTCTTTCCGCTCCCGTCTAATGCCTATTTTTCGATTAGTGACGTCTACAAATGCTTATGTTCCCTTTGCAATATTAAGTCTGTTGGTCCAGATGGTATCCAGGGTGATTTCTTGTACAAATTTCGATCTGTTCTAGCAGAACCGTTATCGTTATTGTTTAGGCGTTTTATTGACTCGGGTATTTTTCTGTCTGCACTTAAACTTGGCTCAATTAGACCTATATTTAAGTCTTGTGATTTAACTGATGTTTCAAACTATCGTCCCATAACTATCCTCTCTCATTTATCCAAAATATTTGAAACACTTGTTCTTAACTCGATTCGTTCTTCCTTGAATCATATCCTAATTGATGAGCAGCATGGCTTCCGTTCTGGTAGATCAACTTTTACTTGTAACCTTAGTTTTCATTCATATATATATATATGATTCTTTTCGCGATAACTGTCAAGTAGATGTAATCTACACAGATTTCTCCAAGGATTTTGATCGTGTTGATCATAATCATCTTATGTTAACTCTAGACTCTATAAGAATCGGCGAACCACTATTATCCTGGTTTCACTCTTACATTACAAATAGGATCCAATGGGTAACTGTTGATTTCACCTCTTCCGACCACTTTATCCCCTCCACAGGTGTACAACAAGGTGCTGTTCTTTCTCCACTTCTGTTTGCCCTATTCGTAAACTCAGCGCACTCCGTCCTCCAGCATTCCAAACTTGTTATCTTTTCTGATGATATAAAAATCTTTTTCCGTATAAAATCCATCTCTGACTGTCACCTTCTTCAAAACGACCTTCAGCGATTAGTGGCATGGGGTGAATCTTTGAGGCTAGCTCTTAATATAACTAAATGTTCAGTAATGACTTTTTGTCGTATTAATACTGTAATCGAGCATGTTTACTCCATAAACAATACCACCTTAACAACTTGTAATAATTATGTAAATGATTTAGGATTTACTCTCATACGGAACCTGTGCCCTAATATGCACATTCAGATAATATGTTGTAAGGCTCTTAAACTGCTAGGTTCCATAAACCGTGTCTCTACAGACTTTCACTTGATCACACCTCTAAAAACTCTTTTCTGCTCCCTAGTCCGTCCCATCCTTGAGTATGGTTCCGTCCTCTGGGACCCGTCCACCGCTTCTGCACGTAGCATGATTGAAAGGGTTCAAAGAAAATTCCTCCGTCAAGCTGCTTACAAATTAAAGATAGTCTGTCCACCACACGATTACACGCCTATCCAACGTCTCTTTTCCTTAGAAATCCTCGCCGATCGTCGTCATTCAGCTAACTTATCATTTCTATCTAATCTTCTTTCATCTAAAATTGACAGTCCTGAATCACTATCCCGTGTCTCATTTAATGTCCTCTCCCGCCGTACACGATCATCTGTTCCATTTCATATACCTTTTTCCTCCTCAAACTACTATCTTATCTCACCGATCATCCGTCTTGTGCGCATTGCCAACACTGACCCTTCATTCTCTCTCTAAAATTGAGCCTCGTTTCCATAAAAAAACTATTATTATTATACTATTATAGTCATTTATTAAAGGGTTCGTTCCGTATTGTAAAATAAAATAAAAAAATAAAAATAAACAATATACTTAATATATTATAGAGGTATCAATTTACGGCTAAAACAACCCTAATCGTAATCGTGAGTCGCGACCCATGGTATGGGAAATGCTTGTCTACAGCATGGATGTCGAACCTATGGCACGCGTGCCTAAGGTGGCACATTGATCAAATTTCAATGGCACGTGAACAATTGAAATTATTAACAAATTTTGCACCAAAAAAGTTAAGCTGTTTATACAATTTTAGTTATAAGCAGGGCTCGGGACTTATAGCACTTAAAATCATTAAAATAAGTGCTTAAAAATATCATTATAAGCACTAAAATAATTTAAAACATTTTAAATTAAGCAACAATTTTTATTCAAAGAAAAAAAAACTATAAAATTCTAACTAATAAATTAAACAAAATAAAAATAAATCTTCACTTTCAAGACATTAAGGATTTTATGGATTTTCTAAGGGATTTTTCTGAAAAATAAAATATAAACTGTTCTTTCTGTTTTTGATCATTCTGACGTTTGACACTCAGTTCTATTTTCAGCATTAGAATATCTTACAACAATGCCTTGGACGGCGACGAACTACGTGACAACATAGATAAGATAAGAATTATTTTTAATTTTAATTCTATCAAAAACGACTTTGCAGGAGAATACTATAAAAATGTAAAAAAATTGGTCAAATAAGCAAAAATAATCAGAAAAACGGGAAATAAGCATTTTTTTGAAAAATTGCTGAAAAAAGCAAAAAGACACTTTCAAATTTCATAATTGTAAGTGTTATAACTTGACATACACTTCTACAGCACTCTGCTACATTTTAAGTCAATCCTTAAAAATAAGCAAATGTTTTAACTCCCGAGCCCTGGTTATAAGAAATGTAAAGAAACAAATTATATACTTTTTAAAAATGATGATATTCCTTATTTTCAATTTTTGGTCAACTTATGCTTGTGAAAGTCTATTCTCCATAACGAATTTAATAATTTTATTATTTAATTATTAATTATTTAATAATTATTTTTGAATTAAGAAAAGAAATGCCTTGACCGATAACTTAATTACTACTTGTGTTTCATTACATATGACAAAGTACGCACCGGACATAAAAACTATCTGCTAGGAAACAACATAAAATAATTAAATATAAAACACCACATTAAGGATATTTAATAAACCATTATTAATTATAATTAAATACAATGACAAAAAGAATATGTACCTAAAAATAATGTAATAAATCTGTAATTTAATTCTTATCCTTAAAAAATATAATTTCCTTTGACACGATTTTCAAAATCTTGATTGGAAAATGTTGGCATTTGACTCAAAAAAGGTTTGCTATCCCTGGTATATAGGCTTTTCTCCGATGGATGTGGATATACGCGTGTGTATTCGGAGTAGACTATAGAGTAAGCGTGCGACAAAAATAATAACGACGACGTTGGAAGCGGCTCGTTTTTGAAATCATATTTAATACGTGAAGGGAATGGTCCTTTAGTAGTGTTTTCTCGTCCATGAGTTTGGCGTACGAACCTCTCGATACAGGTAGTCGCGAGCGGTTATCATTCGAACGTCAACAGCAGCAACGCGATACGATCAGCGACGTTACCGTCATGCCATTTTTCATAGTACGCCGTCAAAACCCATTACCGATTTCAGTGACAGTTCAACAACCGTAAGATTCGTGCTCGGATTGGTCGCCGTTCGCAATAGTTGACCACAGTGCCCAGTTCGTTCTACCTCGCTTGTCGTCGCGAAAAACGGGATCCTCATCGTCGAGTGGCCAAAGCTTGACGTCCATGAGTGCAGTGATAAAATTACGTTCGTTCAGCACACTCGAAACCCCCAATATGTGCAGTATTCACGCCTAGCAGTGCCGCGGTGTATGTAGCGCTCAGTAAGCGGTCCCCGCAGTAGTGTAAATAAGTGTCATGTAACACATGAAAGCCGAAAACGTAGACAGTGCACACAAAAGTCCGTGGAAGCCCTGCCATCGTGCACCTATTACGCGAACACAACTTTTCAATAACACTTGGTCTCATTACTGTAGCCGTTCGTTAATTACGTCAATAATTTGTTGCGGATAGTAACATCCAAATTCATTCCGTTTTGTTTTTCACGGGTGATGTACGCGGTGGTTTTTTTTTTTAATTATTTACTATCGTCTTACGAAATTCATCCTTATACCTTACATCGTTACCGGTTTTAAATTTTCGGTTATTAATTTACTTTTCGTCCACTTTCAATTTTTTTTGTGATCTTATGGGTAATATTGGTTAAAATTCGTTATCAGTAAGAATATTTTGTTTCATCTATAATATTGTGTTATTTATTTAACCAAATTATGTTTATTAAAACAACTGTGCTCTGCATCCTGGTAATTACTACCATTGTTCATTCGGTACCTGGGGATGAAGACGTTGGTCTACCTCCTACGATCGTACCGACTGTTGACGATTCTCTGTCTCCTCTACAGACTCCAAAACCACCCGTTGTGAGTCTGGGATTTGTGCATGCCTTTGTAGCATCCCTATCTGTAATAATTGTTTCCGAGTTGGGCGATAAGACATTTTTTATCGCTGCCATTATGGCAATGAGACATTCAAGAATCACTGTCTTTATTGGTGCTATATCTGCACTTGCATTGATGACAGTGTTATCTGGTAAGAAATTGATAATTTCCAATAATTTATATTTGACTTAGTCAAGTAGACTGTGATTTTTGATTTAAAATGAATAATTAAACCTGATATCCAAAAAACCTTTTATTTATGCTGATTTAAGTTTTACATTTGTATATAATATGTTTTTAAAGTAAAACAAAATACCAACAAATAATCATAAATGATATTTTTATACTTTCAAGTATTTGCCATAATTTTGTAAGTACCCGTAAAAAAAATTAAATTCTTGTGAAAATGTATTACTTCATTACAGTTGTTATATCTTTTTAAATTACATAAAATTTGAGATAAAAGTAAAGTTATTATTGCTGATACATTATAATTTAACATAGGATCTTAGGATCTTGTAAAAAATGTTAAGGTTATATTATATTTATTTAAATAATCAACTTTATAGTTATAAATAAATTTAGTATAAATTGTGTACTTTTATATTTTTACTTAACACATTCTTATTCTATATTATTTATTTTATTTTACCTCAACTATTAATATATCTTAAGGAGATTGGTGATGGTAATTTTCTATCATTAGAAATTGTTTTATATTTCCAATGTGCCTACCAATTTATTTATGCAATAAGAAATAATCTACTTGAGAAAGACTTTCTTAGTATTTTTACTTTGATTCATAAAAGCCTTAAATAAATGAATGAATTGGAAATTTTTATTGCATATTTTTTATTTATATTTAACAGGGCTCATATATACATACATTATTTATATATATATATAAATAATAATAAATAAATCCATGTAGACTGGGTAGTTGAGTAAATTATATTCTTTTTACAGTTTTATTTGGGTATGCAGCAACAATTATACCTCGTGAATATACATATTACATATCAACAGCCTTATTTGCAGTATTTGGACTTAAAATGTTAAGAGAAGGATTTAAAATGTCTCCTAATGAAGGACAAGATGAACTTGAAGAAGTTCAAGCAAATTTAAGACGAAAAGATGATGAGGTAAAAAAAAGTTTTCTAAAACATACAAATTGAAAGCATTAAATATTGAAAACCACTTTATTGTTTGTGTTTGTTATTTTTATTATTTAGTAAGCGTATTGGAAAGTGGTGCTATAGTAAATTAAATGCTTGGTTATTCAATTTTCAGTCATAGTATATTTTACCTTGATTATAAATTTACTAAATGTAATAAAAATAAAATATCATGCATACTTTGAAAACTAATAAAAATGTATCTCAAACTTCAAGGTAATCGAAGTTCCCAATTAAAAGAAATTATTTTAAATAAATATCCAGTTGCATACTTCTAATCTAACAATTTTCATTTTTTTATAATATGAACCATTCTTTCATTCAACTAACTGAATATGTTGTTCTATAATTAATGTACAAAACCTTTTTTTTTTAATTTAAAATAAAAAGTTAATAAATATTAATTAGTAAAATATTTGTAAAACTATTAATGTCATTCAGTTAATACTATGATGAAAAAGATTATATTTTAATCTTTTATATTAAATATAATTGCATTAATTTAATATTTGTATTAATACTGATAATGATTCTGTATGACATTCTAAATTTATATCTAGTTCAATATTTGTCTAAATTTATGCTACAATAAATTTTCTTAGTTAATAAATACAATTATTTTAAATATAAGTTCTACTAACTGATAAATATTTTCTTTTTGTCTTAATAGTAACACATTATATGCTATTAAAATTAAAATAATACCTAATATTATACATATAACGTATTTATACATTATCCTATAATATAATAATATAAATGTATACATTTTTCAAAGTATATTTTAATGCATTTTAAATAAGGTATTTGTATTTTTATTTATTATCAAAGAAAGTTATTAGAATAATATTAACTTATTATATTATTGGGTACTTTAGAGATATAATTGCGATATAACTTCAAATTATTTTTCAGTATACATCTTTATCAAATTAGAAAAAGAATGAATAAAAATGTAATATTAAATTGCTATTTTCTATTTATTATTCTAATTGCTTTTATGTTTTGCTGATGAATTTTATTGGTGAAATGCAACTCTATTTATCTGCGCTTAGCTTATTATTTTTTATTTGTGCAATCATTGAAATAACTTTAAATAAATTATGGTTTTTGTTTTTTAATTATTTGAATTTGTCCTTAATGCTTCATAGTTTTCCTGTGCTTTTTTTTTTTTGCTTTGTCCGTATCATTGTTTAATTTTAAATCACAGTATATATATGAGATCAACCAAAGGTCAATATTTGGCTAAAACCATATTTCTAGTTATTTTTATTTATTTTACTTTATTGTTTTATTATTTTTTAATTTCTGCCAAAGCTTCAACAATATTTATTATACTAAAGTTTGTAAATCATAGTTACTTCTAAATTCCTGAAACTTGCAAATAACATTAATTCATTTTTCCTAATCAGTATTTAATATATACGAGTGAAATATGGAATATATTAGTTGTTAACATGGAATGAAGTTGAATTTTTAATTTTCTAATTATCAGTATTACTACCATAAAATATACAACTGAAATATAATTAAAATTATTAAAATATCAGATTTCATCAACATTTTATTTCCTAATGCTTATAAATCTACTTTGCAACTTTCCGGAATACCTCTCAATTACCAATAAAAGATATGTATGAGGAATTTTGTATTACATTTTTAAGAATTTTCAAGGTAAATAATTTTATTGACATTTTAAGAAAAAAAATTTTCAAGTATTCATAAATAGCACAAAAAAGTAGACTGAATCTTTTGAAAGTAATACCATCTATAGCAGGGGTCTTCAACCTTTTTATGCAGCGGGTCACGTATTATTTTTTTTAAACACTGCGGGCCGTATTCATAGTAAAAACATGTATTTTATATAAAAATTCAGTTTTATTCTTACAATTTTTAAAATTAGGTGGGTACATTTAAAATTACAAATTATTATTATTATTAAAACATAAATAGATAAACATTTTTTTTTTTTAATTATAAATTTTTTATTTTAGTTTTAATTTGAAAAAATTTAAATTTGAGCGCGGGCTGCATGTTATGACAGGACGGGCCGTGGGTTGAAGACTCCTGATCTATAGTGAAAACTATTATATTTTTTGAATGAAAAAAAATTATATACATTTTATTGAAAATCGATGTTATGGTTTTTTTTTTTAAAATTTCTTTTTGCAATTAAAAAAGCCATTCAGAATTTCCTAAATTACTTCTTTCCCCTAACTAATAGATCAATATTAGAAATCTCTCGTGGACTGTAATGATCAAAGCAATCCTTCTGGTCAAAACTATGTACATAGATAGAAAAAACATACATTATGGTAAAATACCTTGGTATTTGTATTAAGGTATTTGTTTCCTTCCTTGTTTCATTCAGAATTTACAAAACCATTTTTGTTATAAAGGTGAGTAAATTAGCTTATTCAGGGATTGAGAGTTATATTAAATTTTTTATTCTTCAACTTTATAATTTTACTGTTAACATTTGTATTGTTTATTTTTTACACTATAGATTTTTTTTTAAATAATGTTGATGCCATGTTACCTATTTAGGTATTGTATTTCCATTGACACTTATTCTAATAATAAGCTTATAAAGAATAATTGTATTATTATTTTCTAGTAAATAATTATTTAGATTTTATAAATTATTTATATGTGTGTGTGTGTATATATATATAGTTAAAACTAGTAAATATAGTAATAATGGAACAAAAAAATAACATCTAATAGTCCATTGCAGTGATTTATTCTATTTAAATTATGTCATAATGAAAAATAAAGGCAATTTAAATATATATTTTTGTATTTATTTAATGTTTAAGTGTAGCTATGAAATTATAATATTTATTTTAAACTTATTTTGAGTCAACTTTTATAATTATGCTTTAATATATTTTCCATAATATTGTAATTTCACTCTTAATTACTGTAAAAATATCAATAATTATTTGAAAATAGTTGATAATAATGTATTACTAAGTTATAAAATGTATGTGTAATGTTCTTTTTTCTTTATTTCAAATTTTTATTTACTTAAGACTGCAAAAGTTAGTAATTTATTTTTACTCAATTTGTGGCAATTTTAGCTATTGAGTGTTATGGTTGGTGCATTGGATATGTTTCGTAGTGTGTCTAAATTTGTGGTTTGCTTTCGAAAAAATGACTAAGTAGTTACTACATTGGGTAGTCATCTATCTAGGAGCTAGTGTAACTTTATACATTTTAACTGCAGCGCCCATTATCAACTGCTAGTTATTTATGCTTTTTATTATAGTATTTGTATGACTTGTTTTGTAATTTTATATCATTAAATCACATAATTCTAATTAAATTAAATTTATCCACCTTAATAATTAAGAAAAAATAATAATAATATATTTTATGGTTTTATGTTAATTTTGATCTATCAATATTATTAATTTATAGTTCTTAAAATGAGTTGTAACTAATATATATTTTACTTAATTTTTATTTTGGCATTTTCTTAACGATCTCTTCTTCATTTCTTTGGGCTGTTTGTTATTTGGGAATAAATTATTAAATACCTAAAGAACAAGAAGAATAAGAAAGATCTGTCACCAGTCACCGAAAAAGATGATAAATCGCCAACCGTTCTACCGTCTGTAGTTGAAACTATCAATGTGACTGTTGATAATTGTACAGATTTAAAGGTAAGATAAATGAAATTAATGATACTATAAAATATGAATGATAATAACAAAAATCTTAGATAGTATAATTTATGTATTACAACTGTAGTATGCAATATTTATACCCAATTTATTTTATTTTATCTTATTATGACAGCATGAAATATTCCCTCAGCAATATAACTGCTCGTAGATTTCGAGTGACTTTTAGATGTAACTACATGTGATGTACTTCACTTAATTTTCTTACTGTAGTATATAATACTTAATCGCAATATCTCTAAAGTACTCAAATTACTTATTATAAATTTATGTGAAATTATAAAAATTATTTTGCACTAACATTAGCCTTAATACAGGATACAGACATAGAACAACAAGCTCCAAAAAGATGTCGTTTACGAATTGGTAGTGCAAGTTTATTAATTGTATCAAAGACTTTGATTCAAGCATTCACAATGACATTTTTAGCAGAATGGGGTGACCGTAGTCAGTTAGCCACTATTATTTTATCAGCTAGAGAAGTATAAAAATAATTATAATAACAGTTTAAATAATTTGTTTGATTTTCAATTTTTTTTTTTCAGGATGCTTATGGTGTTGCTACTGGTGGAGTTCTTGGACATTCTCTATGTACAGGTTTAGCTGTCATAGGTGGTCGTTTTATTGCTCAAAAAATATCTGTTCGGACAGGTAAGTTTTATTACTCAATAATTATAAGACTGTATATAAAATAATAAACAATTTTTTTGTCTTTTTTTAGTAACTATTGTAGGTGGTGTTGTATTTATAATGTTTGCCTTGACCGCACTAATGTTTGATCCAAATGAATAATAACCATAAAAATGTCATTTATATTGTGGCCATTGCAAGTTCCAGTTTCAGAACTGTGCATACTTAGTTTATCTGTGATATTTATATTTCACTATTTTTTTTTTTTAGTATGCTTTCAATCAAGTGTAAAGTTCAATGAGATCATAATATTGTGTTTGTATTAATGACTTATTTACTATTTTATTTTTTGTTATGTTTGTACAAATAAATAACTTTAAATGAAATTGTTAGCAATAATTTTCATAACAATGTACATGAATAATAAATTTAAAAAATTTATTTCAATATTCTTGATACTCAATCAATTTTTTATAGTTATATTTATTTTAATAATTTACAATGTTTTATAATACTTAGTATTAAAATAAAAATTTTATCGATGGAAATTCAACTTTACAATGGATAATTTTAAATAATCTGTTAAATCTTTCCTATAATGTAATGTTACCATATTTTAGTCTGAGGTTAGTCCATGGTAAAACATTTATCATTGCTTTTTGGTCAATCTTTCTTTTATGGGCTTAAAGCCTAATTACAAAACTATATAATACTTATTAAATAACTGGCATCTAATGCCAAAAATCCTCAGGTTAATGTAACAAGTCTTCCATCTGACTACGCAAATCAGTGTAATTACCATTGACCTCCATGAAATTAAATATATTATTATATCCATATTATTAAAATTGTCAAATTATTTTCAAAAATTCAATTTTAAATTTATCCATAAGTGCATAATAATACATGTTTTAAAATATAAATTAAGGTTGATAATTATTATATTTGCTTAAACTCATTATTTTTATTTATCTTGTCCAATAATAAAAATTAAATTAAAAAGCTTTGTCCTAAAAATATTCTATAGTATTTTTTATTGTTATTAATAATGAACAAAGATTCTTACTATTGTTAACTTTATTTTTACAAACAATAAATTATATATTTATTTATAAATAACATTCATGTAATTTTTTTTATAGATTTTTATTCCGAGACTAATCCTCCAAGTTACGAATGTCCTAGACTAATGGTTCTCAACCTGGGGGTACATCTCCTTAGGTAGACGTGAATATTTTTAAAAACCATATATATGACCTGAAATTGTTATTTTTGATTTTATTGGGCCATGTTGAGTAATTATATTATTTTCTATTTATTCTTATTTTCTTTTATTTATGTACCAGTTGACTTAAAATATTAAAAAATTAGTTAGCTAAACAGTGCCAATTTTCTCATTAATTTTAATTTAATAGTAATGAATTTAAAATGTAATATTTAAAAAAACTACTATTATATTATAATATACTTTTTAAGAATTTGAAATATTGATTAATTTATGATAAGTAACATCATTTTACTTCAATCTTGTGTTGAGGGTATTGTGTATTGACCTCAACAATTGTATGAATTGGGGAATTAACTTCAAAAAATTGAGAACCCATATTCTATACTATAGTTTGCACTTAATTCAATGTATATGTAACGGGCAATTTGAATCTCAAATAGAATTAAATAACTGTTATAATATTTTCCTAATAATGTATTATAATTTAATTATAATACAGTACAAATTATAAAATATCAGCATAATATTTCTTCTCGTTATTTATATTCTTCTATCTTATAACTATTGTTTTCCCCATATAGCCAAATCATAGGTACTAAAATAATTATTTCAACAAATAGTTACATGTAAATTATAATAATAAACATATTAGCTATAAGAATAACTAATAATCCTTTCACAGAATTATTTTATAGTTTTTTTTTTTTTTAAACATATGTATTAATGCTTAATATAATTTAAAGTATATTAATAAATATAATAATTTCTCACACCAATATACTTGTGTAGTTATAAGTGAAAATTAAACAATTCAAATAAATTTTATAAAATTTATTTTTACAACCGGATTAACACTGAATACTTTATAAAAACTGTCGATAATTTTGTCTCATCCTTGAAAAAATTATTAAGAATTTCAAAAATTACCTTTATTAAGTTTCAAGTAAAATACATTTCTGAACTATAAAGCAGCTGAATAAAAAAAATTAATAAGAGTCTTGAGCTACCAGTTTAAAATATATTTTCTTATTAAATCAAATAAATCATTAAAAATAATCTGTGTCTATACAACTAGTATTATATTGATGACCAATATATATATACTACCTGAATATTTTATTATGTTAAAGCTAACATCTATTGTTTACTGTACTTTTTTAAAATTTTATTAGGTGGCATTCATTTTTTGTAATTTAAATTGTAACATGCATTTATATAAAGCTGCATATGCTTGGATTTTCAATTGAGTATGTGCATCATATATATCAGACTATAATTTTAACATTTATATCAAAATAGAATAAAATATATCTTGAATATTTATTATTTAGGTAAGTGCAATAGAAACATTAAGACTAAGAAATATTAAGAAATATAATGGAGCACATAATATTATAAAAAAATATAGGTATTAGGTAGGTATAAAATTTAAAATCCATATCATTTGATAAATAAATTATAGAAATGTGAAGATTCTAATATAATTAACTCAACCAAAATATTAATGATGACTGAAAAATATCTTAAAATTCAATAAATTTAACATTAATCATTCAATACCAATAATTTTCTTCGGTATATATCCATTGACTTAAATATTGTTTTTAAAATCCAAATAAGTTAAAATCTGTTAAGTAATTGCATGTTGGTATCAAAGATATGTATTGATTAATACTATAAGACAAGGGTCAGCAACCTTTTGAACCATGTGGGCCATATTTTTTTTCAAATGTTTATCATGAGTCACATAAAAAAAAATTGTTTACATATGATATATACTAATAATTGTGTTGCTATTATATTTGTTATATTGATTATATTATTTTACATAGAAATATGAGTGTAAAAAATATGAATGTTACTGGAAAAATTGCTTTTAAGAAAAAATTTAATTTTTTGACAAATTAAATATAATGGCTTACCTTTGTTTTCGACGAAAAATTATAAATCAACCCAAGAATTATTAAAAAAAAACGATGTTCATCACAAATTTTTCTTTTTTTAGTCGCCATAATGTTTGGATTTACTTTTAAAATGAAACTATTACAAACGCAAACAGTCACACGTATGGGCGTAATTACGGTGTAATACTAATTGCTACAAACGCAAAGTAACTATAACCATAGATTAAATATATTAGATACATATGTATTATATACATAGATTGAAATATATTTAAAATTTTAATTTTTAAATATATATAAGTATATTTAATTTATCCTATGACTGAGTAGTGCAGCTATCATTATCTTCGACTCCGATTAGATAATAATAACTATTTTATAGATGAAACTGACTATATAACTATATAGAATAAACATTAACTATTAACGATTAGATTAGATTTTATTAATAAAGAAAAAAGAATTAAATAGTATTGAAAATTGTATAAACAATTTTATTGAACAAAAATAAAACACATAAATTAATCACCTTTGTGCGGGCCATAAAAAATTGCTTTGTGGGCCACATGGGAGCCGCTGGTTGCCGACCCCTGCTATAAAACATTAGTAGAATAAAATATTAATATCTTAAATTTTGGATAAATTATAGGACATAGTATAAATAAACTATGATTTAAAGTCATATATATTCATCTATTAAAAACATGTTTTTATATAGAAATCCGCGCTCTAATAATAACTAAGGACATTAACGAGTTAAAAATTGAAATTAAATTAAAACATTAAGTTTTATTAATTACATTATTTTCGAACTAACTTTTAATTTAATAAGTTACTTTTTAATGTATATTACGCTTTAAATTCAAGTTAATTTTATATAAAAATAAAAAATCAAGTTAAATTTTTATATAAACTAATTTTTCAAATAATTTATGTTTGAGAAATAATAATATAATATTTAGTTAATCAATATTTTCTTACATTATTTACAAACAAATCAGTGAGAGTAAATAAATAGATTTACTATGGATATATATATATATATATATATATATGTGTGTGTGAAATGTATATACCATATATTGAAGTATTACATTAATAAAATACCACTTGTATTTATAAAATTACTCGTGGAAATGCTATTTTTATTACCTATGAGAAAGTGTGTTGAGTCATATTAATATGAATAACAACTTGAACATATTTTTATATAGTCTTTTAAAAATGAATATGTAAATCGTAATGTTCATATAGAATTTGTATGTGAGATTCCCAAATCGTGCACCGCGGTGCCCTAAGGGCACTACGACCATTTTCTAAGGGCACTGCGATCTACATACAGTTCATAACAAATTTTTTACCTTATAATAATTTTATATAATAATTATAGTCATTATAACAATAATTTTTATTTATTAATTTTTTAAGTTTAAAAATGCATTAATTTATAATTAAGTTAAATTTTAATAAAATTAATAAAATTGGTTATCAATAGGTTTTTTTTTTTGTTCTGTAATGTAGTTAGTTCACAGCAGGGAACAGTGGCTAAATTGGGTTTAAAAAAAGGCACCGCTGAAAATAAAGTTTGGGAACGACTGGTTTAGAATAATTTTGACAGTTAGTCTTTTAATTTTAATACTTGTTTTAGTTATAAGAATTCAAGTTTGAAAATATTTTTAATAAAATAATTAATACTGACATTTTTATACATAAAATTTGTAATATATAAAAAAAATAAAATATGATAAGGATCATTAAATTTATTACATTTAAAGTTTCTTACAAAATAAAAGTATAAAAGAAAAGAATATGTGGTTAAATTTACTTGACTAGATCAATGCTGTAATGATAATAAAACTGTAAAAAAATACTTCCATCAATATTTGGGTAGTTTTGCTTTTGGAAAATAATAATTTATATGTCTGAAGATGTAGTAGTTGCATTAATAGTTTTAGCCATTTGATTAGTACAGGGTTTGGACAGTGGCAGAAAATTGGGCCGTACAATTGCATTGGAATTTGGATAACATTCATCAGCAGTCTGTATGGCAGTGATGTCTGTTTGAGTTTCGGCTACGCTCTGTAAAGAAGGGCTAACACATCGCAATACTTGGTCCATGGACTGTTGCAACTGCTGGACCTTAAAGAAGAAAATATTTAAACAGTAGTTGTAAACATTATTCAAAATTAATTATTAAACAGATACAAAAAAATATGATAGAGGTTTGTAGAGTTACTAAGATATTATGGATTTAAGGTGAACCACAATGAGTAAAAGTAATTGAATATGAAGAATTATTACATACAATATATGTTTAGTAGCGGAATGCACTTGTACTCCGATAGAATTCAAAAGCTGGTAACTAACTAATAAATTCCTATCTACTCCCAGCTATTCCCTTAATCAAACTTTTTAGATCTACATACTTATAACACTTTCTATTTTTGTATCCATTGCTACTTTATTTTTTTTTCATTTACTGTTTAGGACTCCAATTACAATGGTTGTCACACCTTACCTAGCCTTAACACATACCCCAAAGTCTGTCCCAACTTTCTTGGTTACTCTATTAGAGAAATATCAGTCTCCTTGACATCTTTATAGATTCCTAGTTCAATATCTTTATTGTGTCCAAATTTCCCAGTTCTTACTAGTCTTCACAGATAGTTCTGATTCACAATTATGCTTCCTTGCTATCTGATTTTTTTCTGATTTGTTTGGTTCTTTCGCATTTTTCTATGCTTTTATTATCAAATCACTAATCTTACATCTAAGCCTAAATAATAAAATTGTTGAATTATTTTGGGTTCATAGTCATGGCGGTATCACTGGTAATAAGGAAATTGATTATCAGGCATTTACAACTAAATTTTTTTAAATTATTTGTCAATTTTTAAAATACCAGCTTTCAATCTTTTTCCTTCCCATCACAAACTTCTACAGAATGCTTGGAAATTTAAATGGACCTCATTACCACTCAACTTTGCCACATATTACAGATGAGACGACTGCCAACACTTACTTAGTTCTCACCCAATATGTATTACGCAAAAATAAAATATAAAATCTAAAAAAAATACTGTAATAGGCAAATGGTCTTTGATGTTGAAACACAAACCTCAAATAAATATAAAATATTAGAACTAATTAAATATGTATATTTTATCAATGACCCTAGACAGTAAAATTGTAATTTTTACTTACAATACTTAACTATATGTTTATATATGAATATAATATTTTTACCTTAATATCTAATGAAGAGCATGTTAAACACTTTGAATCTTCTTTATTATCACCATTTTTTTGGTTATCCATACTATTAACCTATAAAAATTCATAATTTTTATTTCAATGCAAAAACGTGTAATAAATATTGGTTCCTTGACTGATTTATTTTATTATTCAATATAATTTTTGAAATTGTTACGATTAGCGTAGGTAATTATTAAGTGATAAGCTACTTAATAAATGTTTAAAATATTTTTTTTTATAATTATAATGCATACATTCATTAAATTAAACTATTTTAAGAGAAAAATACTACAATACCTGAACTTCTACTGATCTAAGAATTAGAATAGATAATATAACCAATTAGTATGAAAAAATATCATTAATATTATCATACAATTTTAACTTATTTGGATAACAGCAAACAAAATATACTAGGTATTGTTAACTAATTAATCCAAAATATCATATATCTATACATGTATGAATAAAAGCAAGAAATACCTTTTTCCACAGCTCATTGATTGCTTGCATTTGTAACACAACTAATTTATGTTCTTTTTCCAGAGTACTTTTGGTATCTACTAAATCTTTACTCATTTGTCTAAATAATCACATTTTGTCAATTAAATTAATTTAATGGAAAAATTAAAATAATTTACTTTATGTATTGATTGAAACGCAACATCTGTACATGTTGGTATACATTGGTAACATTTTTGTTTAAATTCCTAGTTCGATATCCTCTCCACATTTTTTGTATTACAATAGCAGACTGGTGTGAATCTACACAAAATGCGGAGAAAAATATAAATTTATAATATAAGTCATTGACAATGAAATTTACTTTTATTTTCGTTGCCATTCATTTTTGATGCTTTATTCTTGATCATTTGCAATTTGTCCATAGTTGGTGCACGAGATTCTTCTCCTGCAGGCGTTTGGAGACCAATTATAGGTCTGGATTTTGGTATACTTGGTGTCAATGGGCTCGGTAAAGAATCCAATATCGGCAACATAGTACTTGCAGCTGGTAGTGGTGGGGATTGAACAAGACTATTGACTTCAGTCACTGGCAAATGAATGCTACGAGACATACTATTGGGTGTTACTTGGCAGCTTTCTGATCCCATAGATAATCTTTGAGTAGTTGATTTTAGAACACTAGGATCTAGACTCCTGGTCATTAATGATTCTTGTCCAGAGTCTTTAGTATTTGGAATGCTTGTCCCTAAAGGTATATCAAAATGAATAATAATAAAAACAAGTTTAAATTAAACTTAATTTACTGTGCAATTGTTCTCTATATTGTTGAGCTTTGCTCAACACTAATCTCAATTTTCTTTCTTGCTCAGTCTCTAAAGCATGACTAGTAATAGGACAAGTTTCTGTTAAATAACGAACAAGAGCAGTATGTTGACCAGTATGAAATTTTCGTCCTTGACCTTGGCTATACAACCATTCAGCCTTTAAACTAAAAATGATTAAGATTAATATTATTAGACAAAAATTTCTGCAGAATCCCACATAGATATATAAAAATAATTTTAGTTTGTATATTTTGTACTAAATATAACATAATTAATTTTAAATTATTCAAACTAACTGATATTACATTATAAACATTTACTTTTCTATATCATCCACAGCATATCCATCAACTATTTTTACACTAGAGCACCAATTAACAATGAATGGTCTATAGTTAAATGTGTACCCTTCTAAACAACTATTCCCAGTTAAAGTGATTTCTCTTAAAGAACCAAGACGGCAAAGTTGAGATATTTCATTTAAATCATTAAGATTGTTATTAGCTAAAGTTAGAATGAGCAAGCTGACTGGAAGGAAATGTTGACAGTTTGTTAAATGACAAATATGATTTGAATGCAAAAACAATCTCTGCAAAATAATAAATTGTTATTGAAAAAGATTGTTTCAAAAGGCTTAATTAAATTAATGTACTAACTTCAAGTCTTAAAAGATGACTTAAATTTGTTATATACGATATACTATTGAAAGATAAGTCCAAATGCACTAAATTAATGTTCGTTGATAAATGTTCAATAATCTAAAAAAAAATATTTATTTTTTAAATATCTACTATATGATATATAAATAAAAATAAAAATTTTACTTTGATTTTGTTATGAGACAAATCAAGCCATGTTAGATTTATTAAATCTCTGAGTCCTTCAATACTCATCAAATGATTATTTGATAAATCCAATTTAACTATTTTTGACAATTTTGCGACTGTATACATTCTCATCATTTGATTATGGCTGGCGATTAACTTTAAAAAAAAAATAAATTTTATATAGTTATATGAATTAATAATAATTTATAAGTTTAATTACTTCAGTAAGCTCAGTAAAGTTTTCTACATTTTCCAGCTTTTGCAAACAATTTTTGCTTACATTTAGTACTTTAATGGTATGACTATTTTCATTTTTTGGCAACTTCCGTAATTCTTGGTCTGATAAATCTAATAATGAATTATCTGAAAATTAAAAACATTTAATGTAATTTATAAAAAATATTTTTTAAATATAACATTAGAAAGATATTCAATATAACAACTTAAAAATAAAGTAAAAGTTAGAACATAAAAAATTAGGTTACCAGTCATTTTAACGAATATTAATTGATTACACTTAAGCACTTTAGTGTTTTTTGAATTAAAACAAACAAGTTTTAAAACATCATCATATAAAATTAATGAACAATTAAAAGGAAAAAAACAAACATTTGAAATTTCGTTATTGTAAAAATACCTAATAAATATTACTGATTCTTATCTCAAAACATAGGAACTCACTACCCTGATAGTAATTGCAATAATAGTAAACTAACTGAACTTAGAAACAAATTTGATATCTGTATAATATGTTATTTGTTTTGGATTTCGGTTCCAATTATATTTCATTAATATTGTTTCACATATCATGCTCTTATAATCATAACGAAGAATGTAAATACAAATACGAAATACTGATTAATATAATAAAATATTATATTCTGAGAAATTTAACACTGATTTGAAATTTTTAAAAATTTAAATGTTTTAAATTGATTTATCTTAAAAGGTAAGTGATTTCAATTTAAATAAATAAAAATGTAAGATTAGGCGCTATGTACATGTAACACACGTGTTTTGATAATTTAAATTAGTGTTGAGATGTATTGGAATCGTGCTAACGTATATTACGCGCAATGCATGCGAAGCCGGGTCAATTACAGTTCAGTTTCCAAAATACCTGAACGGGTTAAAGAAAAACCTATGTTGGAAAAATCACAAGAAGAAGTGATGTCTGATACTGTGATTAAAACACCTCGTTTAATGCCAGTGGAGAAGTCCGAATTTCGTAAGAATGCTTTGAACATTCAGATGTTGTCAGCCAATTTATACGAACAACTTTTTAATGAGCCTCATTGTACAGATGAAAATATTTTAAAGATGGCTTTAAATGAGCTATCTAAGTATGATTTGCCTTCAAAATTACACAAAGTGTCTGATGTTGAACTCCAGTTACCTCCAATAGAAGAAAACATAATTAATCACTTCTATAAAATTGGTAAAATACAAAGTGAACCATATTCTGTGTTAATGGATGAATTTTTAAAACTTTCAATACCACAAATGCCTAAAGAATGGGTTTTCAAAGAAGGTTGGACTAGGTATGGAAAAGAAATTGAGCCATGTGACTATCCCAGGGAAAAAGTAATTATTTTTGATGTAGAAGTATGTTGTAGAGAAGGCGACTTGCCTACCTTAGCAACTGCTGTGACATCAGAAGCTTGGTATAGTTGGGTCAGTAAGGATTTAATTAGTTGTAATACCAGATCAGGTAGATATCTTGGTTATTCGTGTAAAGATCTCGTACCATTAGAGACATCAATTAAATCTAAAGAAAAGTCATCCCAGTGGATAAACACTCCCAAGTTGTGTGTAGGCCATCATGTTGCTTTTGATAGAGCTAGGATTATGGAGCAATATTGGATGAATCGTACAGGTCTTAGATTTATTGATACTATGTCTTTACATGTTGCTATTAGTGGTATTACAAGTTATCAAAAAACTTTGTTAAAATCTAAAGATACCATTGAAGATGATTCTTGGAAACATTACAGTTCATTAAATAGTTTAAATGAAGTATATAAATTATATTGTAAGTCAGAGTTATCTAAAAGCGATCGTGATACATTTGTTAAAGGTTCATTGTATGATATTAATAATAATTTTCAGAATTTGATGAGTTATTGTGCAAATGATGTTATAGCCACTACAGAAGTTTTGAAAAAATTATGGCCTCTATTTATAGAACGCTTTCCTCATCCTGTTACATTAGCAGGTATTTTAGAATTAGGTACTTCATATTTGCCTGTAAATTCAAATTGGAAAAGATATTTGGACACTTCAAACGAAATATATGAAGACTTGGATATTGAATCTAAATTTTTACTTTCGCAACAAGCTAATCAAGCTTGTCAATTAATGTATAATGGTAACTATAAAAAAAATTTATGGCTTTGGGATCAAGATTGGACTTCTAAAGTATTAAAATTGAAAAAAGAAAAGAAAAAGAAACCTGTTATGACTGTTGAAAACAAACCTATAGAAACTGAAGACATGTATGAAAAAAGGTTCTTAATATTAGAAGAAAAGTTTTCACCATTAATGGCAACTAGGGAACGAATGCCAGTAAAGACACCACACTTAGCTGGTTATCCAGAATGGTATAGAAAATTGTGTGCAACTCCTAAAGACAAAAATTGGGTTCCTGGTCCACTACTAATTAGCTCTGGTATGCACCTTGTTCCCAAGTTACTTTTTCTTATGTGGAAATCTCTTCCTCTTCATTATGTACGAGGACATGGTTGGGGCCAACTTGTACCATACAGCACTGAAATAAAACTTCCGAACGCTGAATTGGTACCATTGAAAGAATTACAGGATCACTATATTAAAAATAATGGATCTTGTGATTGTAAAATTATAATTAATAATACTGAACTTCATGAAGAGGTACAAACAAATTTAGTGAAATATGAATGCATTTTCAAAAAAAAAAAATTCAGAAACATACATAGTATGCCTTGCAAAGAGAATTTGTCAACTGATTGTGGTATTTTAAAACTTCCACACAAAGATGGCAATCATTTAAATGTAGGTAATCCACTTGCACGTGATTTCTTGAATAAATTTTCTCAAAATGGTTTATCTGGTAAAGACAGTAAAGCTGAACGTATTATTGAAATATCACGTATGCTATCTTATTGGAGAAATAACAGAGAACGTGTAGAAGGTCAAATGGTTGTTTGGACAAATAAATTAGAAGGATATGGTGCTATTATACCACAAGTTGTAGTATGTGGAACATTAACTCGTAGAGCTGTTGAAAGAACATGGATGACAGCTGCTAATGCTATTGATGAACGTGTTGGATCAGAGTTACGGAGCATGATTCAATCACCTCCTGGTTATTCTTTAGTTGGAGCAGATGTCGATTCTCAAGAACTATGGATAGCATCAATTATTGGCGATTCTTTTTACGGTAAAGAACATGGAGCTACAGCTTTTGGATGGATGACCCTTAGTGGAAAAAAAAGTGATGGCACAGACATGCATAGTGCAACTGCCAAAGCCATTGGTATCACAAGAGATAATGCTAAAGTATTAAACTATGCTAGGATTTATGGGGCAGGAAAGCCATTTTCTGAACGTTTATTGAAGCAATTTAATCCAGATTTGAGTCCTGCACAAGCAAAACAAAAAGCAGTAGCTATGTTTAACATGACAAAAGGAAATAGAATTTATAAGCTACTTGATTCTGTTTTACCAGAGATCAAAAAAAGAGAACACTCACGGATTGGTGCTCAAGAATTATGTGCTATATACAATATGAATGTTGAGGAATTATTTGAAAAACCAGCTTGGAGTGGAGGTTCAGAATCAGCTATGTTTAACAGCCTAGAACAAATTGCATGTTCAAAAAAACCTAGAACACCATTTTTAGAATCTAGACTCAGTCGTGCTTTAGAAATGAATGGAGTTGATGTTGATAAGTATATACCAACCAGAATAAATTGGGTAGTTCAAAGTGGGGCTGTAGATTTCCTACATTTAATGCTAGTCTGCATGCGCTGGTTAATTCATCCAAATGTTCGGTTTTGCCTAAGTTTCCATGATGAAATACGTTATTTAGTACCAAATGAACACCGTTATCAGACTGCATTAGCTTTACATGTTACAAATTTACTCGTCAGAGCTTTTTGTGTTAAAAAATTAGGTATGACTGATTTACCTCAGTCTGTAGCATTTTTCAGTTCAGTTGAAGTAGATACTGCACTTAGAAAAGATGCACTAAATGATTGTATTACACCATCTAACCCACATGGTTTGTCAAAAGGTTATGGAGTACCACTTGGAGAATCATTGGACATTTTAAAAGCCATAGAATTATCTGGTGGAAATATTGGTGTATTCAAGAAGAAAAAAAAAAAGAACTGATTTACTAAAGACTGAACAAAATTCAAATATAATAAATTTATATTAACTGTACATATTAAAAATTATTTGTAAATATAATATTTTTTTGGTATTTTTTGCAGAATGTCTAAGGCAACTAAACGTAAACATGTACAAAAAGAAATGCTTACTGCAGAATGGAATGGTCCAGTTGATGATCAACGTATTGTACGTATAATTGCTGGGCGTGGTAATAATCTTCATGAGGTATTTTCTGTAGAAGATAACGAAATATTTCTTGTGTCAATGCCAGCCAAGTTTCGTCGAAATGTATGGGTTAAACGTAATGATTATGTTGTTATTGAACCAATTGCTGAAGGTGACAAGGTACGTGGAGAAATTGTACGTGTTTTGACTAAAGAAGACATGAAAATTATGAAACAGAAAGGATGGGATAAAAAGGAAGAAAATTATGATATTGCACCTAACACTAATCGGCCTGTTGTTACTACAATCAGTGACTTGAGCTGTACAGATACAGACACTGATCATGATGACCCATCTGAAGATACAGATTATTCTTCGTGAGAATATGCTTAAATAAACAATTTATTTTCTTTTACACATATGTTGTGCTAAACAAAGACTATTCTGTTAATAAAACATTATGTGATTTATATATTAAGTTCTAATATGGAAAATATATTTAATTAGTTCTAAGTATGTCTTGTATTATATAGTGTTAAAAATAAATGTTCAATTTGTTCAATACTAAAAAAATTTTTTCATTTATTGTATATGGGAAAAAATATTTAATTTGATTAAAAATTAAATTTATTATCCATAAATTGTTATTATATTTTACTATAAGACTTATAAATTATTACTTATTTACATTATTATGGTAGATCATCAAATGATAAGTATTGAGTTGTAAATCGATTTAGATAAAAATGACTACAATGCTTTTAGTTATAGGTAAGTTATATTTTACCAGGGCTTTGCACTCGTAAACGTAATGTAACCCGAAACTGATGACGTATCGGTTATGAGGTAATATTGTGGAGCACAGACGAAGAATGAACAGTTAAACATAACCGCTTTCCCAACAATCAACGGTTTTAAGACGTATCACTACAGGATTTTAGAGCTACGCCATTAGCTAAATCAAGGATGGGCAATTTCTTAGTGACTAGAAAGCCAATTTTTAGAACTTTAAAATCTGGCGGGCCATAGTAAAGTAAGCAAAAACGAAAAAAAGGTCATTAAAATTGATAATTAGCATTCATTTGAATTAATTTAATTTCACAACAACCAATACAATAAATGCCTAATACCTGTAGATAAGTTAGCTACGCCAATATGGATGTATACAGAGCCGTGTCAAACATTTCAGTGCCCTGGGGTAAAATTTTTTCTTTGGGGTCACTGGGCAGATAAGGGCGCCCCCTTACTTTTAAAAAACTACAGCGCCGGAGGCAATTGCCCCTTTTGACCCCCCCCCCCCCCCCCCTTAACACGGCCCTGGATGTATATGATACTTAGACATCTAATGATTTAGCTGGAGTTCAATACTATAGAAAAATATAATATTTACATTTTATGTGATAAAATTAATTATATACTGATAAACACTAACATTTAATGAAGTGATTTGAAAAAGTAGCACGGGCTGGATAAAAAAAGTATACTGGCAGGATGTGGTCCACCAATTGTCTATCCTTGAGCTATAATACCCAACATATTGAAGAAACTTTTCTATATCACCTATCTTTTCCACACTAAAAAAATAAACCAATTGATTTTCATCATACAGGTAGGACAAAAAATGAAGAATTATACATGACCAAATAAGGAGTAGTCCAATTTCTACAAATTACTTAAAAATCAAATATTTCCAATAATCACTCATTAAAATTCTCAATTATAGTGAATCATGGTAGTAATCATAAGTATGGTGAAGTAACTCAATTTTTTTATTTTAATTATTAAAAAATACATTATTTGACATTCAGATTATTGATTTAAAACTCACTAACACTGTACATATACATTTTAATACAATAAAAATCATAATGATTAAATTACTGCAAACATATTATAATTTATTAGTATATTGGTATTTCATTAAAAATAACTATAATAAATGTGCTTAAAATAATATATATATATATTAGTTGTTACTTCTTTCATAAATGTTTAGTTAACTTTATACAATAGCTGGAGAATTCACTGTTTGTTTCTTTACCAAAAAAATCATTGAGATCTGAAATTTTTTAAAAGTATATGTTAAGCAATATTATAATAGGTTGTTACCTAACAACTTATTATAATATTTGAATATGAATTTCAATTTTAAGTACATCAATGTAATTTATAACTTACCTAATATAACACCTATAATATTAGGTGTCTTGTTAGGAAATAACTTGTCTAAGCTTTCAATGAAATTCTTACAATTTCTTTCAATCATGTATTTTTTAACAAGACAAACAAAATTTGAATAAATTTCTTTATCTTTTAGCACACTTCGTACCTAAAACGAACAATTATTATTTATCATCAATAAAATAATATTAATTACAATTAATTATTTATTAATTAGTTACATATACAAATAATTAATTTTTTATCTCAAACACAAATAAATAGATAATAAGATTATTTTTAAATTAAAATTATTGCCAAATTAAGGTAAATTAAAATTAAAACCATTTAGATAATTCAGATTACGGAAGTATAGGTAATTCAATAAACTCCAGGACAAAGTCAATGTTATAATAATTTCCGATATATTAGATAAGGAATTTATCTTAACTGGTAACACATATGCTTTATTAATAATTGTATAAATATTGATATTTACTTACTTTTGTCATAAAGTTAATAGTTTTGTTTTTAGCAACTACAGTGTTTGTTTCTTCAATTTCATTGGGAATAATTTTCAATTTTCGTTTTTTAACTAATGGTTTTAAGTCACAAGACACATTGGTTATAGATGACTGACTTTCAACTATGGTATTAACTATTTTATTTTCAACATAATCATCAACAGATGCTAAAATACTTTTACTGCTACTACATTCCTCTTTTTTTTCTAATGAGTCTGCAAGTTTACTACAGTGGCTTTCATAAAGTTTTAAAGTATCATCTTCCATAACTTTTCTTTTAGCAGATTCTAATGATCGCAATACAGTTGATTGAGCAGGTTCTTGAAATGATGCATTGGAGAACAAAACTACTGAAGGCATCTAAAAAATATAAATTTATATTAGTTATAAATTATTAAGTATTTTAATTTGTAGTTATATATTTTTTTTATATGGAGCTGAGCGAGAGGATGAACTAGGAGTTATGAAAATTGGGGAAAATCAACCCAAAACTTGGAATTTGGGCTAATATTTAATAAACTAATTCTATGATAATTCATATTATATTTCCCAATTCCCAACATTATACTAACAATACTAACAGCATTTTAGTAGTTGGGAAATTAATTATTCTATAGAAAATTAAGAATTCCCTCTAATGGCTAGTTTTTTATTATGAAATATGTAAATTATTTACTTACAATTGCACCAGCATTTTTGAAAAATTTCACATTATCCCTAAAAGCCAATGAAAACTGGTCATAGATTTTTATATGAGGTTGCAACCAAGCAGAAAGCTGTAGTTTTATATTATTATTTGCATAACGCTCATCACAAAATATAATTGAGCCCCAATCACCAATATGTCGTATAACACGTCCCATAGCTTGATTTACAGCTTTAATAGCTTCCAATTTGTACCATTCTTGGCCAGTAAGGCCCTAAAACAGAATACAACATTAAATAACTAATTAAACTAACATAATACTACAGACAAATAATTTCCAAACTAACCTGTGGATTTTCTTTTTGGATATCATTTAAATAATCTCTTTTCATAACAACTCTTGGATCTAAGTAAGGAGGATATGGTAATCCTAAAATAATAACAGCTCTAGCTTTCCAGTCTGAAAAGTCGAGACCTTCAGATACTTTTCCTCTATAAACTGCTAATAACATGGCTCCCTTATTTTCTTGAATTGCTTTATAATATTCTTCAATTACACTATTCAATACATCCTTATTTTTTGGTTCAACAAATAGAGACTTAAAATAAAACAATAATGTTATTATGTACAAATTTAAAAATATTTTTAATTTCTTTACTTTATTTTTTGTGATTGATGCCCAAATATTACATCCTTGCCAATAATTGACACAACTATCTAAAAATGGATATGAAGGAAAAAACACCAAAGTACCTCCAGGTATAATTCGTGAAAAATTTACAAGAGTTTGACCCAAACTTATGAGGAAATCAGAATTATTTCTAATAAAATAAAATAATATTGCATTAAGTATTTACAGTTTTTTTATAAAAAAAAAAAAACTAGACTTTAGGAATAACAACATGACCATTTATTCATAAATATACTATTTTGATTCTGGATAGAATCTGCTATATCAATATAGTATATTTTAAAATGGTTTTTACTTAGTTTTCTATACATTAATACATATTATATGATTTTTGAAATATTTGTATTAATTATAGACAGTGACATATTTATATGCAGGCACTGTAGGAATGTGTCTAAATCGGCAAGTTTGATGTATTTTGTTATTAATTATTAATAAAAATGGTTGAAATCCTTAAAAATGATATTTTAGTATTTAAATGAATTTTTTTTTGCTTACTTAACTAGTTAATGTATATTTTATAGTAGACAATTAAATGATAATTTAGTTAGTATGGTATATTATTTTAGTTATTTCAAACCGTAATTTCCACAGGCCTACACACAGGAAACATGAAAACACGCCCCTGATTATAGGTATGATTGTTATTTTTATATAACTTAGGAGACTTATAGACTAGATTAAATCAAATATTAATATTATTATGAACTACTGTAAGTATAAATTACCGGCTACTGTAGTTGCATACAAGAGGCTTATTATTTGGACCATTTTTTATAACTGATACACATACCTAAAATTAATAATATACAATAAAATATAAATCAATAAACAGTTTAAGTGTAAATATTTAACTAACTTGATCATTTTTAATAACATGGGCATTTTGTAACTGTACTTTTACTGGAATTCCTATTTCAGTTATAGTAGCAGCTAAAGGAGACAGTGTACCACTGGTAAGTATTATACAATGAACATTTCTTTCTAACAAATCTCTCATCCTGTTGAAGTAAACTGTTATTAAGAAATTATACATATTAAAGGAAAATTATAAACACTCAATTATTTATTTTTAAAAGAATTTATATATGCACTAGTCTTACATGAAATATGATCACATATGTATCTAAAGCTTCCTACTCCACAGTAAACTTTTGAAGTTAAGCTTACATCTCCTAACTATCAAACATGCTCTGAGAATTATTTTTATGTTAAATCAATAATTTTTTTTTTTTTTTAAAGTAAATTGAATTTTCATTGGAAGATGTACAATATAAAATTTAGCTAAATAATAAATACATACCCAAATCCAGGACTAAAACACCAAAAATGTACAGTTTTGCCTTTTTTAAATTCCTTTAACTTTTTGGAATCATTTTTTAATTTATATTTATTTTGTTCTAACTCTATGTAAGTCTAGAAAAGGAAATATTATAATATTAAAAACAGTAAAAATAAAATGCAATTAACAAAATAAAACAAAAATTAGTAAATTGTTAATACTCTTAAATGAATATTTAAATAAATAGTTTATACATAAAAATAAATAAATGTATGTCTGGATCGCACTTTGTATATACATGATAATGAATTTTTAATTCTAAATCAGTTGTACATTGCAAGTACAATAATATTCCAGGCTAAGTATTTATTTATTTCTATATATAAAATGTAATTGATTTTAACAAAAAATTATAATTTCATTAATTACTCTAAAATATTTGTCTGTATTCTTAGGGTCTCCGTTACTTCCCAAACTTTGCAAAATACATTCCAAAAATTGTTGAAATTTATATAAACTTGCTTCTTTAGATTGATGAGGTTGATTATTGTTAGATGATGACATATAGATTATAACTGCATTTAAAAAACTAATAAACTTTGACATGTTGGCAGGTGTTACCTAAAATATTTAAATGTTTGAATTAATCAACAAAAACATTAAATTTAATTATAAATACCTCTGCACCTTGAAGCAATTTAAACACATAAGAACCTTCCATTTTTTTGTCATTAGTACTATTGGTAAGTTCAATTCCATCAATAACCTTTTCTATTTCTAAAAATAATGCTTTTAATACACAAATATCGTCATCAGAAAATTCTCTTGGTCGTAACTGAATTGGTTCTTTAGAAAATTCTGTATTTTTTTCATCATACAATGTTTTCATAATCTAATGATAAATAATTTCTATTATACTTATTTATCAAAATATTTTATTTTGATTTTAAAATTTAGCAAGTATAATTTTATACATGATAACTTCCAAATATGTTTAGCTCAACTAATAACAAGTTTAGGATTATTATTTACAAAACATAAATGTGTCTTACATCGGTTACAGCATCAATGCAAAATGCTACATCAGTGCTACTTATCTCTACGGAACATGATTCTTCACACATTTTTTCGATATTATGTCCTTCATCAAGAATGATTACATCTTCCTATTATAATGATGACTAATGTAAAATCAAATAGTTAAAATTACATACAATTTATAAGAACAAGTGCATACACTGAATTGGATTTCTAAAGCTTTCCTTGTCCTTGGATCAATAATGTAATTATATGGTGTGAATAAAATGTCTACATCTTTCTGTAGTTCTCTAGAACCATAATATGGACAGCAGTTAAATTTCTTTCCTTTTTTTACTAAATCTTCTATATCAATAATTCCATCATCTATAAATGCTTCTTTGGATTTAAGTTCGACGTTATTGTAAAACTGACATGTGCGAGCGCTAACTTTAGCACGGCACAAGGCAATTTTAACAGATGAATTAGTTTCTTTCATTACTTCAGGATTGATACATAGTTGGTCTCTTGAGCCAATTATACCAACTTTCATGTGTCTGTAATTAGTTCGACGAAGTTCTTTCATCACTTGATTTAGCTGAGTATGAGTTCGAGAGCCATAAATAATACGGGGTGGCCGTATTACTCCGTCTAATCGCAGTTGAAAATATATTTGCTTATTAATTAAATAATGAGGAAAAATGCATATAAGAGCACGATGATAAAATTTATTTTACAAACATACTCCAAGCGCTATTCGGATTTCTGTTGACACCTGCTGCTGTGTTGACCAACACGGAAATATCATTCTCTGTCGGACACATTCGATTGGCTTGTATCGCAGCTTTCTTAGTCATGAGCCAGGCCAACGAGGAACACAACAATGACAAAGTTTTACCCGTTCCAGTCGGAGACTCCAATACACCGTTGTTTCCCTAGGAACGGAAAGTTAATGTACACGACGATCAACGCGAAGCGACAAAATATAAGAATAATATGTTCATACTTACGTTCTGCAAGCATTCTAGAACCTTTTCCATGTACCGTTTCTGGACATCATACGGCTCGTAGGGGAAGTCCACGAGTACTCCGTTGCATTCAAATGATGTCATCGGGGTGTAAATTGGATTTCCTTTTCTCAAAAACGCAAATGATCGCGGACGTGGACACGAGCGGACGGAAAAAATCGTCGGCAACGTTATCGAGTGTATTCAAACACATCGTTATCGGTTATCGAAAGCGCGGGATATCGACCGAACAATAGATATAATCAAGGTGCGTTACCCCAGTACCCGCACTTTCGAAGTCATGAATTGTAATCAAGCAGTATTATGTACTTTATTTTGTACAATTTTATTCAACCAAAATTAAATTTTGTACAACCCCCGAATCTCCCCGAAATTCAATTTTATTTTACGGGTGCTGCGGCATCGTTACACCAGCACCCGGATCAACTATTTTTCACAAATTTCAACTTTAAACCGTACAGTATTATGTACTTTATTTTGTACAATTCTCAAACCAGAGGCGACTCGTAGGGTTCATAGAAGTTCGAGTACAAAATTAAAATATTTCCCCTTTATCCATTATCATAGTTTACCACCTTCAACTTCTGTTGGTAATTCATTTAACTCAATTCTTTATAATGTAATAAATTATTTTTCGTTTTTTATAGGTTAATTCTATATTCTAGAACATCTATGTTAATACTTTTTATTATTAGATTCTTAACGGAGTGATAAACATGTTTATTTTACAATGATGTGTGCTTTTTTTTTATTTTATTTTTTTTATTGTGTCTGTCATCACGTTTTGGAGTAGTAATAATGCTTTGATTTTTGACTTCAGCCCCTCTTTAAAAAATAAATTTAATCTAGTTTATACTTTAGGTGGTTAGAAGTCAGTTACGCCGCGACAGCCGTCCGATGCACACGTGCATCGCTCCGCGCTTATCGCGACAATTAAATTTAATGAGCACTATTAAGTTATATCATACTTCTCAAATTATACATAACTTAATCTACATAAAACGTCCTTTTTTTTTTTTTTTTTTTCTTCATTATTATTACTAACCAACGCGTTACTAAATACTGAATAAAACAATATGTAGTCTTACATAAAAACTTCAACACCGGCTCCCGGCCAACGGCCGCATCTCGCGGTCTAAAACACATCCTATCGCACTATGAACACCAACACCAAGACAGCCAGTCCCAAAGGTAAAACTAAACAAAAATGCTTATCACCGTTAACGATTACGAAACCAATTAAGCACACGGCGAGTGAAACAACTCCATCTGACTGTTATGAACTGTAACTGATAATGAATTCAACTGGCAAAACGTTGAAACAAACAAACGTATTAGATCGCCAAATAACACTACTATCTCACCACCACGCACAAAAACAAAAAATGAACCAACAAAATTCACTTCCACTAATCGTTTTTCCGCAATTGCTCCTATTGAAGAAATGAATACGGACACTGAAATAAATGTCGAACTTAAAGAACCTCTCCCACCACCGCCAATTTACATAACATCTCCAATACAGTACGTCGATCTGTGTAAAAATTTAACACTAATAACAAAAAACGAGGGTTTCCAATGCAAATCTACTACGAAAAACATCAAAGTAAATCTCCATTCTGCCAACTCGTACCGGGCCACAATAAAATTGTTCACCGAAAATAACATTGAGTATCATACGTACCAAACGCAAGAAGAAAAATCCTACAGAATCGTCATCAGGAACCTTCATCATACAATCCCAACCGAGTACATCAAAGGAGACATTGAAGCAAACGGATTCTTAGTAAAACATGTCACTAACATACTAAAAACACACTAAAGAACCTCTTCCTCTATTTTTTGTAGACCTCATCCCTGCACCAAATAACCAAGACATCTTTCAATTAAAAACTATCTGCTTTTCCAAAGTTAAAATAGAAGCTCCTCATATTAGACGCGACTTAGTTCAATGTCATCGATGTCAACAGTATGGTCACACCAAATCGTACTGCAACCATCAACCTAAATGTGTCTGATGTGGTGAAAACCACAGCTCTGATTTATGCTCTAAATCCAAAGACCTACCCGCAAAATGTGCACTTTGCGGCAATAACCACCCGGCAAACTACAGGGGATGTTCCGTCCACAAGGATCTACTACGTCTACGAAAAAAACACCAATCCAACACCAATTCAAGAGTAATAATCGAGAAGTCCACCTCACCTCAAACTCAATCCAGCAGTCAAACTACTCAAGGAGAAACACAACATCACGAAAATGTACCCCTAAATCCTCAAACCGAACCCAACGACACCCAGCACACATTATATTCACAAGTAACTAAAGGTAGTAAACCAAATAAACTATTGTTAAACAGTTCAAATGGTCATCTCTCCGATCAATCACTAACAAGTCAACTAACAACATTCATTTCTGAATTTAAAACACTAATATCACCCCTCATAACACTTCTTAATCCTCTAATAACCCTTCTCACCTCACTCATAAATAAATTAAGTTATAATAATGGAAACTAATCTCAAACTTAAAATAATCACATGGAACGCTAACGGTATTCTGCCTCATAAACTAGAACTTCAGGCAATCTTAAATAATCACAATATAGATATAGCTATGATTTCTGAATCTCACCTAACTCCAACGAAAAATATTAAAATTCTCGGCTATAAAGCCTATCAAAGTAATCACCCAGATAACACGGCTCACGCTGGCTCAGTTATACTAATAAAAAATAACCTAATTCATTCACCTCTCCCCGATATTAACGAAACTTATCTCCAAGCAACCAGCATTCTTATATCCTTAAATAAATACACTAAACTAACACTCTCATCTACTTACTGCCCTCCTGGCCCTAAAATTAGTATGAATAACTTCAAAAACTACTTTGAATCACTAGGTAAATACTTCATTATAGCTGGCGACCTAAACGCTAAACACTCCACTTGGGGATGTTTTTTAACAAACACAAGGGGAAGAACTCTTCTTAGATCACTAAAAAGCTCCAACATAAAAATACTATCACCTCCTCACCCCACCTATTGACCTTCGCATCAAAATAGACGGCCCGATATCCTTGATATTTTCATAGCAAAAATCCCAAGACACTGTAATACCAATGTCTTTAATATAAACGATCTATCATCCGACCACACACCAATCATACTTGACTTCGAATTACTCACTTCAAATACCCTCGAAAATGCCCAATCTCACGGAAAAATAGACTGGCCCTCCTTCCAAAAACTTATAGAAATACGTACACAACTCAATCCCTCCTTGAAATCAAACGATGACATCGACAACACTATCCAAAAACTCACATCTGACATACAGGAATGCTCTTTCTTAGCAACCACCTTCAACTCTCACATTAAAAACTACCCTCTCCCTTATCATATTAAACAACTTATTCATGAAAAACGCAAAGCTAGATCTCGCTGGCAAAAACACAAATATCCTATCGATAAACGTAATTATAATCAATTAAAAAACAAATTAAGTAAAGCACTTCTCCAATATAGCTCCCTCACCTATCATCAGTACATCCAAAACTTATCAACGCACAACTCTTCTCTTTGGAAAGCAACGAAAAAAATATTAAAAACTCGCTCTACTCCATCCCCTTTGCGTAACGAAGACAACTCGTGGGTTATTTCCGATACAGATAAAGCAAATCTTTTCGGCGAACATTTATTTAAAACCTTTACACCACATAACATAGCTATAAGCAACACCCAAAAGTAAAATAGTCATACTAACCTTGAACTCAATTTTACCCGTTTCACTCCCGGCCAAGCATACTAGTCCCGGTGAAATTGAATTTATCATAAAAAAAACTTCATAACAAAAAAGCTCCAGGTTATGATCGCATTACTAACGTCACTGCTAAAAATTTACCAAAAAAAGTAATACTATTACTATCCTATATATACAACGCAATGCTACGCTTATCTTACTACCCTCTAACCTGGAAATTCTCCGAAATAATATTAATTCCAAAACCAAACAAACCCCCCGAAAACGTCACTTCGTATCGCCCTATAAGCTTACTCCCAACTCTTTCTAAAATATTCGAAAAGATCCTATTAAAAAGACTTCTACCTTTGGCTACCGAAGCAAAAATCATCCCAGACATTCAATTCGGATTTAGACCTAAACATTCGACCATACATCAACTGCATCGATTAGTTGACACAATATCCTCGTCACTAGAAAAGAAACACTATTGTGCAGCCATTTTTCTTGACGTGTCACAAGCCTTCGACAGGGTCTGGTTTGACGGCCTACTATTTAAATTAAGAAAATTCTTGCCTGCACTTTACTTTCTTCTGTTAAAATCGTACCTAACCGACCGCACTTTCGTTGTACGCCAAAACTCAAGCATATCTAAATACTTTAGTATCTTAGCTGGAGTTCCCCAAGGCAGCGATATCGCTCCCTTCCTATATAACGTATTCACCCACGACATCTCTACAACACCCTACACAGAACTTGGCACCTACGCTGACGACACAGCAATTGTGGCCTCCAATGTGAATCCAGCTATGGTCTCTAACATGATACAAAAACACCTCAATATAATACATCTTTGGACAAAACGTTGGAAAATTAAAATTAATGAATCCAAATCCACCCACATAACTTTCACCTTAAACAAAAAAGCAACATGCCCACATGTATCAATGAACAATATTCAAATCCCTACCTGCTCAGAAGTCAAATACCTAGGCCTTACTTTAGATAGTAAACTTACCTGGAATGCCCACCTAACACTCAAACGAAAAGCTTTAAATGCCCGTCTCCATCTATTAAGACCCCTTCTGCGATCGAAAATGAACATAAACAACAAATTAATAATCTATAAATCCCTTCTTAAACCGCTATGGACTTACGGCATTCAACTTTGGGGTGCCGCAAAACCCTCCAATATACGAAAAATTCAAGCCTTTCAATCCATTTGCCTTCGCCTCCTTTCCTCTGCACCTTGGTATATAACAAATAATAATCTTCATAAAGACCTCAAAATTCACTCGTTAAATCAAATTTCTAAAATTTATTACACCAAATTCTACACTAAACTTCATTCGCATACAAACCCCCTTATCACAAAACTATCTACAAAAACACTTCCCGATAACCCCCATCGACGATTAAAAAGGAAATGGCGTAGGGATCTCCTATCCTAACACATAAAAAAAAAAAAAAAATTACCATACATAAACAAATTCACGTGCTGGGTGTTACCATTGGGTAATCTCCCATATTCAAATCAACTCACATTCATTTTATATTTCTATATCCACCTACTTATTGTACACAAATAATTGTATAGATTGTAGATTACTTTACCTAATAAAAAAAAAGAAAAAAAAAAGGTGGTTAGAAGTTTTTAGAAGTTAGAAGGAATTTATATTAGTTTTTAAGAAACTCTGTAATAACCCTGAAAAAGTAACGGAAAAACAGGAATTTTTACGTATAATCACTTTTCGACTAAATCGATTTATTGATTTTGATGTAATTCAAAAGCGAATCATTGTAAAGACTTGAAATTTTAACTAAATTTTTATGTTAGCGTTATATATTTATGATTAAATTTTCAAAATATTTATAGACCATTGAAATTTTCGATTTATCTAATTTTTTTTTCTTGAAATACCGATAAAAATTTTGGCTCCTAAAAAAATCTTTAAATTTAATATTAGTTGTTTAATATATAGTGCCCCACTACAACTCAATGGATCATTGAGCATAGTATTTTATAACCACTTATTTCTATTTTTAATATTTGCCGTTTATAATATGTTATCGGGAATTTTATCCACAATTATTTCTAAAAACTTTCTTTTCATTTTAAAAATAATAACATACAGTATTATATATTTAAAATGGAGATCCTACATATTTAAAATGATTGAATAGGTACTTGAATGTATTAAAGCTGTAGGTATGTTGAATCATACATTGCATTGTTTATATTATTTAGATACCTTTACTAAAACAATAATACTATAGCCATCCAAAGTAATTTGATCTTTTAAATTTAAAATTTCATCATCAATATTTTCATTTAAATTATTTGGTTTTCTTTCTCTATTATCGTTTGCCATCACTTATTAGAGTCATACACAAAAATTTTAATTATATTTTAATATAAAACAAAATAAATCCAAAGAAATTATACCTAATACACGACATAAATGTAACTTATTAAAATTATCATAATTTTGAAAAACAGAAGTACATTAAGACATTAGGCGATAGGTACATTCAAGTTCATATTAAAACCAAATACATATTATAGACAAAATTATAGTAAATTACTAAAATAAAATTAATCTATGAGTCAAAATATTCGATACATTTTGTTGTAGTAATGCCTAGAAGCGCGATATCATGAATAGACGAATTAGTCGACAATGTTGAAAGTAGCATAATGCCCACGTACGACGTACCAACTAATTAGTATCATTGTTCATTTATTATAAATAGTATTTATTATTGTACAACTTAAAATCAGATTGTATTAGACTATTTTTAGAAATGCAATATTATATTTTTATTCTTAACATTAAGATAACAATATTAAATTACAACTCCTACTGTGATGATGACAAGAAATTGGTTAGACGATATTAAAATAATAAAAACTTTTACGGTCTACCTACGGCATAACAAATATAAAACAATCAGTGCCGGCGGGAGATTTTGCGGGGCCCAAGGCAGATTTTTTTCATGGGCCCTATACAAATTAAAGAAGAAAAATACATTTTTTTTCTATTTTACATAACCCCTAAAAAATATTTTATTTTTTATGTACACAATTAAACAAAGTATATTAAACGTACAATTTTCAATTTGGATTTATTTTTTAAAACTATAAATATTTTTTTGCTTATGCACAGATACATTTTTCGTATTAAAATAAAATATATATAGATCAAATATTAAGGTACAATTAATACAAGTTAACTACACAAAAATTAAAAAAAAAATCAACATTTTAACATCAAAATTGTTTTTTATTTTTTAATTATTTAGAAATAATATATTTTACAAACCTAGTTGTGAGCGATTTCCGATAAACAATGTTAAATACATATATAATCGTAACAAGAGTACGTCGAGGATTGATTCGTTATCGCACAACTAGACAGTCCAATATAAGTTGTCTAATACAGTGGTTCTCAACCGCCGGTCCGCGATAAAAGAGATGCCGGTCCGTATTGTGTTGTCATCTGATTTATTTTTAGTGTAGCGTTAGGAATTTTATTAGTGTATTATATACCCGTATACTATCGCAACAATTAGTTTCATATCTACATTATTGATTCAGCTTTCAATTGCAACTGTGACGTTGCGGCTGTACGACGTTATTTTGTTTAATAAAAATGAATTTTAAACAAACAAACTTACTGAATTTTTACAAAAAAAATAATAATGATATTGCCACCAATTCAGTTTCGGAATTCGTTGATAATATCATTGCATCACCATCTAAGAAGAAGAAAAAAGGTACATTTGTTCGTAATTATAATGATGATTATATTAAGTATGGATTTATTTGTTTTTCTTCTGATTCTAACGACATACCGAAACCGCAATGCGTATTGTGTTCTGTGATTTTATCTAATGAAGCAATGAAACCTGCTAAACTTATTCGTTACTTGGAATCAAAGCATAAAGAATTTAATAACAAACCTATAGATTTTTTTATTCGAAAAGGTAAAGAGTTAACGGCTCAAAAAAAAGTTATGTCTGCAACTTCTAAGGTTGATTACTCATTAGTTAAAGCATCTTATCTGGTAGCATTTCGTATAGCCAAATGCAAAAAATCGTATAATATCGGGGAAACTTTAATTAAACCTTGTTTACTTGATGTTACTAGTGAACTTTTAGGGCCTTCCGCTGCTAAAAAAATGAATGATTTACCTTTGTCTAATGACACGATTTCTAAAAGAATAATTGATATTTCTGTAGATATCGAAGAACAAATTATAGATAAAATTAAATTATCGAAATGGTTTTCAATACAACTTGACGAATCAACTGATGTATCTCAAAAAGCAATTTTGCTATGTTACGTGCGATTTATTGATTTTCAAACATCAGAAATGTGTGAAGATTTATTGTGTTGTTGTGAATTACCTTCACATACTACAGGGAGTGAAGTATTTAAACGATTAAATGAGTATCTAAAAAAAAACCAACTAAACTGGGAAAATTGTGTGTCTGTGTGCACGGATGGTGCCGCAAGTATGACCGGAAAATATTCTGGTGTAGTTTCCAGAATTAAAAATGTAGCAAACATACATTTTGTTCATATACATTGTATTATACATAAACAACATTTAGTTGCGAAAAAAATGTCACCTGATTTGAATGAAGTATTGACTGAGGCAGTAAAAATAATTAATTTTATTAAATGTAATGCCTTAAATTCTAGATTATTTTTAATTTTATGTGAGGAAATGGGATCTGAACGTTCTCATTTATTGATGCACGCAGAGGTTCGGTGATTATCCCGTGGTAGAGTCCTGAATAGATTTGTTGAATTAAGAAAAGAAATTGAATTATTTTTAATTCAAAAGAAAAGTAATTACATTTCAATTATTCAAAATACTGAATGGATCGCAAAATGTATTTATTTATCTGATATTTTTAACTTAATAAATACCCTTAATTTAAGTTTACAAGGTCCACTCACAACAATTTTCACCATGTTAAATAAAGTTTATGCATTTAAAAAAAAAATACAGTTGTGGATAACGCTTATTCAAGAAAGAAACTATGAGATGTTTGAATCTTTTTCATCATTTATAGAAACTAATGAGTTAAAGATCGATAGTAATATCAAAATTACTATCGAAAATCATTTGCAATCATTGTATGATACGTTTGAAGATTATTATCCAGTGAATCAAGATCCACGAGACGGATATTTGTGGGTACAAAATCCATTTTTAACAAACTCTCAACATAAATTGTGTTTAAAAGAACAAGAACTTTTGTTAGAGATATCATCAGATATTGGTCTACAATCTAAATTTAAAACAATGTCTGTAACCAAATTTTGGATTGAACTCAAGGACGAGTATTACGTGCTTTTCGAAAAAGCAATGAAAATTCTTCTTCCATTTTCTTCGACATATCTATGTGAAGCTGGATTTTCTGGAATGACCCATATAAAAACCAAAACTAGAAATAGGCTCGATGCCACACATAGTTTACGTGTATCTTTGACAACTACAGTGGAACCAAGATTTGATAAAATTGTTAAAACAAAACAAGCACAACGCTCTCATTAAAATGTAATATTTTATTTATAAATATATTGTTAAAAATTAACTAAAAAGTACTCATTAAAATGTAATTTTTGATTTATAAAAATATTATTAAGAATTAATTAAAAGTATAATACTTAAATCTTGCAATCAAAACTAGAAAAATTAGTTATAGTATAGTAATAAAATGTAACATAAATTAATAAATTAACACATGTTGTGATTAATTTTGTGTATTCTTGTTGATGAACAAAAAAAAAAAAGTTCCTAGTTCCTAGTTTTTGTAAAATTGAGGTGGTTCGTGACCTAAAAAATATTATCGAAGTGGTCCGGGGTGGTAAAAAGGTTGAGAAACACTGGTCTAATACTCTAAAATGAAAAAAAAATGAAATGACAACAGAAAGTGCACTCCGATTGTGTCTTTGTGGTCATGCGGACACCCATTACATACAAGATAAGGAGTACACAATCATTCTTCAACTATAAATGAATAATAATACGATAAACTATACGTATTTTCGGAAAGAAAAACACGCAACCCGGGTTATAATG